ATTCTTTTCAAAAAATTATTCTCATTCTGCATGAGATCTTGGTCTGTTTTAGGGCGTCTTGTCGCTTTAAATCCCAATAAGCTACTGGTGGCGTTTACACTCGCATGTGAAAATGTCTGCAAACAAATTCTTAATTATACAACCGTACATATTTGAGAAGCACAAGTGGCACCTTCTGCACACTGCAAAATCTCGCCAACTAATTTTGGTCTAGTTTTTGTGCAAATATGAAATAAATAGTTACTGGTTTCACAACTGTCAACTGTATGTTATTTTTATGAGTTCTTATGTTGGTGATTTCATAATGTAAAGCACTTGGACATGCCTTGCTGCTAGACAAATTTGGCTGATTACATCTAACTTTTCTGAACAATATAAGAGCTTGATTTAGGTTAATTCCTTAGTATTTATTAAAAAGTACTATTTCCACTGGGAGTTTATTTCACTTCAAACATGGAAAAAATGTCTTGTTAAAAGTGAGATACTCTGCTAATGGAACCATTACTTTATCGAAAATAATAAGGAATTATTGACCTAAAATATGGTCCTACGTTTAACTGAAAATACTTTTGAGCTTGTTTTGTCTTATTGCAGGTGTACTAAGATATTTCATAAAAAGCAAGATCAAAAATACTTTGTAGGATTTAGTGTTTTTGCAGTGTACAACCAACAAGAATGCTGCATGTGATTTCTGGATGCTAAGTCAACAACATGACGCCTGTCTTTCCCAGCAGCCACTGAACAATGCATACAGGCGTAAAGGCAGCTGACCAAGTGTGCTGGAACTCAAATTGGGTTGCTAGGAAACAAGTGGAACTCGGCTGGGGTTGCTCAGCAACAGCTGTGGTTCACCGCGGTTACTAGGTGAAAGGTCAATGCCTGCTGATTTATGACATTCTGAATCTTTTTTAAACGACTCCTTTTCCAGAAATACTAAAAACATTTACTTATTGCTAAAAACTGGCTGTTTGGGGTATTTTTAAGAGCTTTGGGTGTTTTAGAAGCAGCTGAAACCCAAATTGTAAGTGCAAATTTATGCTAAAAAATGTCAGTTTTGTGTAAGACGTCCCATTAAAGATTACTTTCCTCCTTTTCTTCATGCTTTGCTTTGTTAATTTTGTTTCAAATCAGACTTTTATTCTGTTCACCAGATAAAAAAATTGTCCCCTGGTTAAAAATCAGCTCAGATCTCAGCCCACATCCAGTTGTACTGGATCTAAAGCTATTTGCGGCTCCCTCTCCAACTCCTCAGCGGTCAAATTTTCAGATTAAACATTGTGCAATATAAAAAGACTCAACAGGAAACCATACAGCAGTGGCTTTTAACCTGGGCCCATTACAATTCTGCTCACTTTTCTCCGAGGAGGCAATCCGCAGCTGGAAACTCAAAGTAGAGGAAGTAGCAATATGTTCTTGCTCCTGGTGTACCAACTTCAAATGTTCCCCATTTCATCGTTGGAAATGCTGCTCACGCTGCGGTAAGCACTCGATGCTGAGAGGAAATGACAACGAGACGGAGGAAAGACACCGCAGGGGGCTGATTTTCACACAAACTGATTTTCTTTGTTTGAACAGCTGAATGAAACTGACAATCTAAAATCATTCTTACAATTACACCAGAGTATTGACATTTGAGTAAAACTGCTTCCTATGTTGTTCTATTTTAGCAGGTAATTTATGAACAGTTTTAAGGTTTTTGATATTTAACCTTCATTTTTTAGAAATGCAACACCCAACTGTTTCACCACTACTGAACAAAGAACTTTAACACTGAACAAAATATTAGAGTTTCACTGCAAAACACAAAATCTTACCAAGTAATTTTAGTCTAGTTTCTTGTGCAAATATCTTAATGCTCTAAAAGTAACTTCTCAGCTATATGTGGTGTCTTAAGTAAATATTTCCTTAATATCGATGAAAAAGTACTAGTTCCTTTGACTTATAACATTTTTTTTATGTAACAAGTGAAATGATGTGCTGGTGAAGCAGCCGTTTGACTCTAGAACCATAACAAACGTAACAAATGTTCACATACATGCTGGTGTTTGAACAGTTTTCTACAAATTTTTAGATTGTATTTTTGTTGTTGCACAGTTTTTGTCACTAGCCTGATAATTTTGCCCTTTCAGTTACCGGAATGTAACATCACAAAACAGCTCACCTAGCAACTACAGTGAAGACTGAGCTGTTACCTAGCAACCCCAGCCGAGTTGCGCCCATCACCTAGCAACCTAAGCGGACCTCCAGCACATTTGGTCAGCTGGTTTCACTGCTGTATGTTCTGTACAATGGCTGCTGGGAAAGACAAATGTTTCGGTGTCAACTTAGCATCCAATTGTTGGTTGTGCAGGAGGCTCCACTTCTGCTTTTCAAAGACGAACAGTTGTATCATTGTGCATCTATTTGCAGTGATTTTCACTTGTGAGTGTAAAGGTTGAGTTGGGGGAATTGGCCAAGAGCAGCTTATTTGGATTTAAAGTGACAAGACGCTCTAAAGCAGCTCAAAATAGGCAGAAGTGAGAAGACTTAAACCTCACTATCGAAGAATGATTTTGTGAACAAAATGTCATGAACAGATTTCATGTCACCCACAGACCTATCCTCACCTGTGCAAGGAAGCACAACAGATCACTTTTAAAGGGTGTTTTTATTTTTTATACTACTGGTTTTCAAGTTTAATGAACCCCAAATATAACAAAAAACCCCTAAATTAACAATGCAGGACTGTGAAACAGCCAGACTGGATAGAGTCCAGCATATGACTGCAACATTCAGGTCGCTGCCTCTGTTCAGAAAGGTCGAGGGTTAACATGGCCGAGGGTGACGAGGGCTGCTTCATCAGCACCACAGGGATGAGGAAGAGGAGGAGGAGGAGGAGGAGAGACAGAGGACAGAGGGGAGAAAGTCATGTAAAGTAGGTCAGCGAGAAAATGTGATTATCCAGAAAAACAAACAGCAGCCTCATCCCATGTCCAGAAACACTGGCCTCCTGTATCTTCTCCTAAATCGGCGCCCAGATTCGTCTCCCAGCGACGCTCAGAGTCACACTTACTGGACAGGTTGGCACAAACACAGACGAGGAGACAGCTCCTTCTCCCCGCTGCCTTACATGGTGCTGGAGCGACTGCAGCCCTGCTACACACAGCCAATATTTCAGAAACGCAGCAGAACAGCCACCCTGGCGTCCCGCTATGGCTCCGTTCTCCGTCCCAGAATGACCAGGTTCTGGGACGCTGCTGCAGGAAATCAACCGAATTCAAACAATTCAACAAGGCCCCAGTTTTCTGGAAATATTTAGAGAAATCAGTCAATATACACTGAAACAACTGTTACTGTTTTACAGGGGAACTGGTCATTCAAAAGTCACATTTTGCACATTTTTGTGCTTCTATTTGAGTTCCTACTCCTTTTAAAAGAGCATAAGCACTTAAAAAAGATATTTTTTGGAAATAAGTTAATGTTTTTGGTGTATTAAAAATTAGTCATTTCAAAAAAACTGACTGTTGCATCCTACAGCGCCATTACTTAGCAACCCAACCAATTTTTTGGTCATCTGGTTTTACTGATGTACGAGTTGTGCAATGGCTGCTGGAAAACATAAGTTTTTTGTTGTTTTCATTCAAAAACCACTTGCTGCATTCTTACTGATTGTGCAAGAGGTTCCAGATCTGCTTTTGAAAGATTTGCCATTGTATGATTCTTGTATAATTTGTTTGCAGCCATTTTCACATGCGATTGTGTGAGCTGAGTTGGGGTTAGCTTGCACCTTTTTCTTTATTTTACAAAAGTCCTAACTGGCAGTTTTGCCTGTTTTCCCTATTTGAGCCGAATGATTAATATGATTAATATGTTTTGAAGTGTAATTTTGTGCAGAAAGACTTCAGTGACCATTTCATATAATTTTTGGGTTGTTTTTCATTTATTTTTTTAATATTTAAATTATCTTCTAGTGTCAGTGTGTAAAATGTTCTTTGGAAAATGAAATTTTATTGCTGTATGAGAGGGTGTACTTGGCCTTTATCATAGGGCAATAAATCAATAACAGAATATCGTTATAACCTCGTTATCAATATCAGTATCAATTAGTTATACATTTGATACAGTTTCTAACTATTTCTACAATCCAGAACCGCACAGCCTTCTGGGAGATGTAGGCAGTGGAAAGACATTAGGCGCTCAACCTAGCTTAGCAAGTGGTGAACTCACTCACTCTCTGGTTACCTAGCAACTCACTCACTCTCTGGTTACCTAGCAACTCACTCACTCGCTTGCTACCTAGCAACTCACTCACTATCTGGTTACCTAGCAACAACTTTAGCAGGTTGTTGCTAAGCTGCAGTTCAAGGTTTCGCCACTATGCCTCAAAAGGGATTAAAAATAACGATGTGGAGTGAAAATTGTGGATAAAAGATATTTAAAAAAATCAATAATTATCAATATTGACCGATATGAAACACTTATTCTGTGAGAGGTTAGTTAGTCGTATTAGTTCTACTTTATCGTTGCTGAAAATGGTCTCAAAACATCAATTTTATTGTTTAAATCAATAACTTCTGGAATAATTTATCTTCCAGTAAAATCTGTTATTGTGTAGGCCTGTTGCAATAACCAATCAATCAATTAATCGCATGATCAGTTAAAACAAATTCATTAATTTCCATTTGATTTACTGCTTTTCTATAATTTTGTTTATAAAGACTTCATAATTTGTTTTATTCGTTGTTTATGTTGTTTTGGACTTCAAATGTCTTCCAGTGTTAGAAGTTTGTTAGAAGTTTGTGTTCGTGCATCATTACCATTTATAAATGGTCTCAAATCAATATTATCATTTATCCAATAACATCGGGGACAATTTATTGTCCAGCAAAATTTGTCATCATGACAGTGCTTTTCTTGCATTTCTTATTTTGGTGAAATTAGAAATCATAAACCAAGACCAAACAAAATGTGACAGAAATGAGAGTTGAGTGAGTAAGCAGGTGTGGATGATATTGACACACCTGAGGGTTTCCAGCCTCCGACTCCGGAGAACTCCTCGGCGGTCTGATGGACACCTGCCGGCTCTTGAGTGGCGCCGAAGGCAGCGCTAAGGCCGACGGTCTGCTGGGGGCCTGGGGGATGGGGAGGGCACTGTGAACCGGTTTGGGTTTCGGGAGTCCTGACTTCATGGCTGAGGCCACCAGGATGGCTGGCATCTTCTCCCCCGAGTCCACGAAATGACCGAACCGCCCTCCACTTCCACCAATTTCTGCTTGCTCGCTTCAGATCCCAGTGTTCCCAGAACCGAGCAGCACACACCAAGGTTGCACCTGATTGAGGTGCAATTTGTCAGCGTCTGGATCTTTGGCTGCAGAGAAGTGGGGAAGCCTTGCCAATATGCAGCACAGTGGGGTGGGGGGTTAACCCTCACATTTCCACCTGTTTCCCATTACAGGCAGCTTCAGTTCTCAAAACACAAAAACAAATGTCCAAAGATTTCTGCAGAAAAACCAGCAAATAAATCCCAGGGAGGAATCCCCAGCTGCCTTGCAGCGTTGCAAAAAATCCCTTCCACTCACCTCCAGTTCAGAGTGAGTCGGCAATTAACCAAAATAACCCTTCATCAGCTCCTCTTCCTCCTCTTGAATGAAATAATTGCCTGAAGTCGTAGATTTGTGAAGAACACAGCAGAAACAGATGGAGGGAGGCGGCAGCGATGCAGCAACTGTTCGCTTCAGCGACTGCTCTGCTTGTGACAGCGCAGCCTGAAAACACACTCCACACACTCTCTCTCTCTCTGTGTCTGTCTCTCTCTGTGTCTGTCTCTCTCTCTCTCTCTCTGTCTCTCTCTCTCTCTCTCTGTCTCTCTCTCTCTGTGTCTCTCTCTCTCTGTCTCTCTCTCTCTCTGTCTCTCTCACTCTGCGCTCAGCAGCAGGTGTGGCTTAGATCAGGCTGACATATGTGGAGACGGGCTCAACACACACTGGTGGCGTCTTCATCCAGCCTGCCGCTCTCTGATCCCGTTTGGCTTAACTCCTCACCGAAACGTCACATTTATGAAGCCGTTTGCTCTCAACTCCAGTTTGAAAACAATGTTACAACGTGAAAATCATCAAAATGGGGTAAATCAGTTGCTCAATATGCAATTCTGAGGGGGGAAAAAAGTCATAATTCTGAGATTAAAGTTATAATTCTGAGAAAAAATAAACTTGTTTACTTTTAATCTATAGTGCGAAGGAGAACATCGTGTTCAGTTCTTGGATATTTCATTATTAAAAATTAGTTTTTAAATGTAATGCATTATTATTATTCCCTGAACAGGTAAGGATATATTTATGGATGATATAGAACATGTTCATTACATTTTTAATATATAAAGACATTTTAGTCTGATCTGTTCTGCCTATTTTGAGCTGGTTTAGGGCCTCTAATAGTAATTGTATTAAGAATAGTACTATTATTCTCATAATAGTACTTTAAAAGGGCAGAATTTTGTGTTTCCCGGAGCAATAATACCATTTTATAATGTAATCAAGTAACTATGTCACCATCAGTGGTTCTAAAAATGCTGTACGCATCAAATATGACTTAAAAGACATTTTACTTTGTAATTTATGCCTTGAAATTGAGGCTCTGTCTCTTTCTGAAGCTCCGCCTTCAGGAAGTCACCACAACACTGATCTTCTATTAACCCTTTACCGACATTTTTACCAGCATTTCACTGAGACGCAGCTCCTATAATGAGCTCAGCAGATGTGCAGTTTCGCCAGATGTTTGCTAATTGCTGCTGGCTAGTCTGAAGGAGCTGAATGAAGGCTCCTCTGGAAGCTCTGGAGATTGGAAACTGCAGCTCTGAGGAGGAGCTTCGTCCTTGAAAGCAAAGCTCGGTTCACCCAGGTGTTGGATGGTTGCCATGGACACTAAAGGATTCCTCAAACATGCATGAAAGAATCAAAGTAGCACCGCAGGTATGGTTTTGATGAGGGAATAACGTCATAACATGATGTAAAAAAAGTCAGTTTTACATGGTACCAAATAAGCCGCTGCTGGCCCTGTCCCCAACTCAACATTTACACTTTTCTGTGAAAATGGCTGCAGACAGATGCAGAACTATTCAATTGTATTTTTATTTTTTTTTGAAAAGCAGAAGTGGAGCCTCCTACAAAACTAACCAGAGTGCAGCAAGTGGTTTGTGGATGCTGAGCAGCCATTGTACAGTGCATGCTGTGGTAAAACCAGCTGACCTAATGTGCTGGAACTCAGCTCGGGTTGCTAGGTAAGGGTCAGAATTCTGCTGGGGTTGCTAGGTAACGAGCAGTGTTACTTTCCGGAGGTTTTTGAAACTGCTCATTTTCCAGACACTAAAAAACATTAACTTATTGCCAAAACCGGCTTGGTGGTTTTTTGAAGTTTTGTGCTGACAGACGTGCTAATCGATTACTGAATTGACTGAAGATTGATCACCTATAATTCTGCATGGAGAAAACAGAGGAAAAATACATGCTGCCTTTTCCCTCTGTTTATAAAAACATTTAAACTAAAATGTTAATATTGTTATTTAAATTTGAAATCATTATTTTAATTCAGCTTTATGGTCACTTTATATTTGTGTTTCTTCAGCATCAAAAAACATTTATTTGCATTTTTATCAGACTCCTCACACACACAAGGACTTTTTTTATTTTTTTACTCATCCCTATACTGCTGGAGCAGCTGAAAACTCTTCCAGTGATTTACTCTACAATGACTGCTTACTTATAATAACAGGAAAACCATGTTAAACTCTGCATCTGCCTACAAGAAACAACCCAAACCAAACTGATTAGGAGAAATTACCAGCTTCAGAGCCACGAGAAAGTGCAACTCTTGTGTTTAAACATCTCAGAATGAAGAAATCATTTCGCTTTGTTTTTTGAATGTAACATTTAAAAACCGACCAACAGAAGCGGGTGAATATGATAATCCTAATCCTGTTATATTAATCCCAAATTATGCTAATGCTGATATCTGATTAAGTTTAAGTGCCATGTTTTGTATTCGTGTGTTTTCAGTTTGTGTTTTTAGCAACATAAGGGCTTGAGAATCCAAATAAATCAAACTATTCATCCAGGTTTTTCAAAACCAGTAGCCTAAAAACCGGACAAAAAAACTGCACTTTTAATGTTCCTATTCAAAATATATCTTTAAATCTGTCACAGTGTAACACTACAAGCCTTTCTTTTAACAGTGAAACATATAGGAAAATACATTAACTCCACCCTGGCTGCCTCAAATGTCATTCTCTCATTTGGAAAATGGAAAAAAGGAGAAATCATGCGAAGCATAACAAGGGAAATTTCCATTATTTTCCTTCCCCTGTGATGATAAACATATGTCAGACCCACGTGGATCACAGAGCTGCACTTCACAGAGGCACAAGAAGAAAAAGAAAAGCAGTGAAATGTGATTTATGCTGCAACCTTTGAAGATACCTGATGAGTCCAGTGGAGTCTAATAATAGAGGCTGTTTGGCAGTAAATGGGCGGTATTGACAGTAATAAGTAGGACACCCACCGCTGTGCTCTGCTGTATGTTTATACTGTATTTCTGCCAGAATAATAAACATTCATGTGGGGTAGGTGGTGGGTGTTTTCAGTGAGCTGCAGTCAGATTCATGTCAACAGAGATTATATAGGAACTCTATAGGAGGCTTGCTTAAACATGTATATCTGGGTGCAGCTCTGCAGAGTTCTGACATCTGTGTTCAAAAAATACCAGTCCAAGCACCGCTCAAAAAAACTCTGAGGGGTTAAAGAATGTGACGTATGAAAACACGTAGTGCAACTACAAATGTAGTCATCACTTTTCAATCAATATCAGCATTGTTAGTGCAAAAGTTGAATTTTGCTTAGATTGCAAGATTGTCAAGAATAGTCCACATTAACACATTGCAAAAGCACAAAACTTTACCAAATATGTTTTGTAAGAGTGTAGTAAAAAAAACTTAGTACACTTGAAATAGGACGAAGTAATTTTTCAACTTGTTTTAAGTCAATAATTCCTTAAAAAATGTCATAAGTGAAATAATTTGCCAGTGGAATGTGCTCTTTTTCTTCTATATTAAGGACGATTATGCAAAATTCAGCTGCTTCTGACAAAATGCCCCAAAAAAACACCCAGGTTTTTTAGCAACAAGCTAATGTTTTTGGGTATCAAAAACCTTCTGAATGTAACTTCACAAACTAGCAGCGCTCCACCCGATACTAAAGGTAAATGTAATTTTATTTATATAGCACGTTTTCAGCAACAAGGTAATACAAAGTGTTTTTACAGAAATTAAAAGGAAATTTATGTCCTAAGCAACACAAGTTCACCTCCTGCTCATCTGGTACAATGGCTGCTGGAAAAGACCATTGTTTTGTTGTTAACTTACCATCAAGAAACCACTCGATGCATTTTTGTTAGTTGTGCAGGAGGCTCCACTTCTGCTTTCCAAAGACGTGTCTGTTGGCAGCCATTTTCATTTGTGAGAGTTAACATCAAGTTTGGTTAAGAATAAGAATAATTTTGTGCAAAAAATGTACTGAACTTATTCTTTAATCATATTTTTTTTTGTGATTTATATTTGAGGAAGGTGCTATATATAAATAAAACTCACTTTTTAACTCACTTTATAAAAACTGGGCAAGCAGCTTGTACAGCATTTAATGTTTTGGGTCCCTTACGTATCAAAATACTTTAAGATCAAATTCAAGCGACTTGTTAAATATCTTTCATCCCCAAGCCACGATTCATATTCAGGCTATTCAAGATGCAGCAATATTTATGCATCATAAATTAAATTAACTTGCAGACACACGCACATCGACACACTTTTATTGCTGATTGTTTTCATCAGCGGAGTCAGCAGACCGGAACAACTGGGCCGTCTGCGGCAACATGAGCAGCACTAACTGGAGCAACAACCTGACATTTCCACCGTGCCGCCACAGGATCTTTGACTTGACCTACACACCGTTTGCTTCATCGCTTTGCCCCCGCCCCACGCAAAACCTCTCCTGGTAATGAAAGGTGGCAGCCAGCAGGGCCCTGGCACCGCTGCAGCACAACATGCAGTCAAAGCACAAACACACAAATGACAAAGTCTCTACACACACATTCAACACAAATTAATCTCAAAGGAATCTGCTGACTCAGCTAAAGTAAGGACAAACTCATTTTTGCCTGTGAAACACAAAGTCAAATTGAGATAATAAAAAAATTAAAAAAAAACAATAAGGAGAGTCAGAAAAGAGGCAGGAGTCAGTCGGAGTAAATTTGTGCATTAGTGTCAGCCCAGCTGCAGCACATGGGTGTGCACGTGTGTATGTGTGTGTGTGTGCATGCGTGTGCGTGTGTGTGTGTGTGTGTGTGTGTGTGTGTGTGTGTGTGTGTGTGTGTGTGTGTGTGTGTGTGTGTGTGTGTGTGTGTGTGTGTGTTTGAGATCTAAATGGGTCTTTTGGCCTGTATGTGGGAAGCCAGGCATCCTGTCATCATCCTGTCAAATGTCACCAATACAGAGAGTTGGGTTCATGCTCGTATGGAGCATCAAACATGCAAACAAGCAGCAAAATCATGGACACATAACCCTAAAGCTCCACTTTCATTCTAAACTGTTTGGATTTATTCAAACTCTTTCGGCATTTAATTTGAAACGATCTATAATTAGTTGTAACCATACTTCATTTAAGAAAAGTTTACAGAACGAATGTGTTACATTACAGAAAATGTTTAACTGTCCA